TAGTTTGATAAAAGTGAGCAGTAGATATGGCAGCGATCTTGACCAGTTGAAGGCTAACAAGTAACTAGAGCACCGGCATGGCGCACTTACCGGCGAACGTTGCCAAACTCGACCATTCGAGGTATGAACGAGACAAGTCGCGGTTAAACTGACTGTGTAGTCAGTACGAGTGCCTACGGAATGGGACCTTATTTAAAGAATTATTGGCTGAAATTCATAAAGTAACAACATTTGGCAAATTTTTCCAAAAGTCGTAACAAAAGTAACAACATAAGATCTAATAAGCAAAAAGTAACGCTTTTGTTACAAACGTAACACCTCTGGCTAGAGGCATGAAAATGATGCGTTGTGAGAAAAAAAGTTGCCCTAATCAAAACTGGCACTGCGTAGATTAAGGGTAGGTTGCAAATTTTTATTCCGCGTTGAACAAAACTGCGGTATTCAAAACCGTGCTAATCAAGGATTTGCTGTACGTGTTCAGCTTAGAGTAAAGACAAATGTTATTGTTGCAGTTTGACTGTTTTAGGGCAAAATTAGAGATTTGGAGTAACATGTGCACACACTTTGGCCTATACTTTCGAAAAAAGTTAAGAGATTGTAAGTTATACAGCCAATCATTGATGGCTTTTCAAGCCAAATCCACCAATCATAGACAAGACAATAGAGCGCAAGTACTTGCGTTCACTTAGCAAGTTTTGAATGTATGGCCCTTTGTAAATAAGTTTACTGCTTGTAAATGGCTTTTCATGGCTGAGATATGGAATTCACTGCTCAAAAAAAATTAAATCTTGGCTAAAAGGAATGGAATCACGGCTGTCAAATCCATAAAACCACGTCTCTAAAAATTTAGTTGCAGCTCACCAAGTACCGGTATGGTAGATATATTCCATGCGTATGCTGGACTGTGACCGAGTATGGGAGTGACTTCAATGCGTGATTCAGTGCAAAGAGCCAAGTACTTGTTGTGAATGGATTGGTTGAGGATATGAGCCGAGTGTAGATGTAGGGAGGGAGATTGTTAGGGCAAATGAGTACAAGTACTTAGGGATGTGTGTGGACCAGGAGGGATGTCGGAGAATAAAGGCCAAAAATTTAAGCAAGGTGAATCAATGGTTGGGTATACTTGGAAGTGCAGCAAAAGTGAGAGCAAGTAAGTATGAAGTATTGAGGGAAGTGTGGCAGTGCCTAGTATTAGGTATGGATTGGATGTGATAGCAAATAGTGATGGTGAGCTAGAAAAACTGGAATTGGTACAGAATAGAGTGGCGAGATTGGCACTAGGAGCCCCATGGTGGACTGCAGTAGAGGCCCTGAGAGGGGAAATAGGATGGAGTACCTTTAAGGCAAGACAAATGAGATAAGTTTTGAGGTTTAAAGTGGGACTGGAGCAAATGGACAATGAACATTGGGCACAATAGATGTATATGTGGAACATAAATGTGAGCAAATGGGCACTTCGATGTTGTGCATTGGTACGCAAGTGTGGTATGCATGAAGCATGGGTGTGCCTAGGGCCTGCTGGCCTAAAGGATGAATGGGTGGGGGCAGTATGGGGTACGTTTGGGATAGAGTGGAATGAAAAAGAGTGGAAAAGAGAAATAAATGAATGAGTGAAAGACTATGGGCTGAAGGTGGGGAAGCAAGGAATAGAGGGAAAAAATACTCCAAAACTGTCTCAAATGAAAGCAATGCCAAAATATGAATGCATGTATGATGGTAGTAAAGGTGAGGACCTTATGTTTTGTGTGAGAGCAGGGGTGCTAGGTGTGAATGGACATACATACAGGTGGAATAAGAGGAGGGAAGATAAATGTTTTATGTGTAATGGGGATGAGAAGGAAACTGTGGTGCACTTGTTGATGGAATTTGGGGCTATTAGTTCTTCTGGACTGCAGCCTCATAAAGAAAGATTGGCCAAGTTCATATGACACCCACCCACCCAAGTTCACCCAGCTGCTTGACTACTGTACTTTCTGGTGGAACTGATCCTTTTCCTAACTGGTGAGACAACTGTCTTGTGTTTTAGCCAATCTTCATGCTGTCATCATAACCCAAACCTCTCACTGTTTTCTAGCAACTTATCTTTGTGAATCCTAGCATGCTGCACCCACAATCCAAACCATTCTAGCAAATTCCCATCAAACGCCTTCATCTCAATCTCGGATAACTTTAACAACCTCATCTTGGTCATGCTGCTGTATTCTGACAATGGTAGTGACTGCAAGAAACTCAATTTAAAACTGCAAGGCTGCTTCCACCTTCACCTCTGCATCGAGAAAAATTTTCTTAGAACATATTTAGAATTCTCCCTTAATGATACTATCTTCAGTTTCCATTTGATATTATCTTCAGCTAAGTCCAGTTCTTCTAAAGTTGGAAAACTAAGTATACTGTCAAACAGAGTAAAAAGGGATTGTTTTGAGTGTTTTTTTGGTAATAACTTCTTACCATGAAACATTTCCCAAACAAATTTAGGCTCATTTTATAGCTCTTTGCGAGGGCTATCGAATGGCATCTTAAAAAAATTCCATATGCTAATTATAAGGTGCTAGATGCAATATAAAAGGCTCCTGAATTTATCTGGAAACGGGGTAAAAAGGGACATTTGAAATAAAACTCAAATTTAAATGTTTGAAGGATGCAGAGTGTACTCACCTATTACCAGCAGTTCTCCTAAGTCCTCCTTTTCCTTTTAGATGTAATGTAACAACGAGGAGCTCAACAAGCTTCTTTAGGGAGTGACCATTGCATTGAGTGACCTGGATGTTAGGAGTTCTGCCTAACATCCAGGCTGTTCTGCTCCCCAAGAAAATTTTATTTAAATTTGAATTTAGGATTTTTGCTCAAATTTAAAATATAAGTGAAAATCTTTGTGATTAACCCATATATTATCTTAACTGTGGCCTTTGCTAACAGAGGATCTTCTGTAAATGTGTTTTAGGGGTTGTCCCTAATTACCCCGGGGGTTGTCCCTAATTACCCTGGGGGGGGGGTGTCCCTTCTTACCCTGTCGCATGTAAATGGCTGCCATTTTTTTGGAATGAGGCAAATTCTGTCGATTATGTTTTCAAGCTGACACCTGTGTGCAACTTTTATGTAAATGAATTTTTTAATACGGCAAATATTTTTTTTGCTCCAGACTTTAGTAGAAGTAATTTCCCAAAATCATACTTTTCACACTTTTTTTCAGCAATTTTTTAGAGATGGTAAACGTTTGATTTCTTGACTAGCTTTATACATACCGTCAACCAGGGCTACTCGGGACGGGCGGGGTAACTCGGGACAGTCCTCCGACACAGCGAAAAACTGTTTTAGTAGCAAAACTAATTGAAATATTGCAAAACTAAATATAGTGGCGTAAACGTCAACATTTTTCCTATCTATGTAGTACGTATAAAGGAAGTTCAAAAATACTACATTCACTAGCTTTGAAAAATTCCTGAAAAAAATGGTGAAAAGCGATATTATGAAAAGTTACTTCTGCTAAGGTCTGTAGTAAAAAAATATTCACCGTATTAAAAAATTTTACTTGCATAAAAGTTGCACCCATGTGTCGGCTTGAAAACGTAATTGACAGATTTTGCCTAACTCATCAAAAAGAAATGGCTGTCATTTCCGCACAGCGGGGCTACTCGGGACACCCCTCCGGGGCTATTCGGGACACCCCCAAAAGCGCATTTACAGTAGAACCTCAGTTAGCAAAGGCTCCAGTTAAGAAAAAAATTGATTAAAAAACAAAGAATAATAATTTCATTTACCTTGCTGAGCAAAAAAAAGTTCACTTATCAAAAAATTAGTTCATCATCGATCATCACAAAATTGTGCATAGAATGTCATATTTAGAATTGTGCACCAGGCATCATAGAATGAAAAGTAATTGACCTAAACTATGATTTATTTCTCCAAAACATATGATGCTTGTCACTAAAACATTCCTTTCTGTTTCAGGTATGTTTTTCGCGATCTTTTCATTGCATTTTCTCATTTATGGAAAAAATGCACTATTGTGCTTGCCATGTCCATCTGTCTGTCTGTCCGTCCGTCTGTCCATGACCTCAAGTTTTTGTCAACGAAAAAATGCGCTCTCTGTCACTCACTGCAGGAGTACTGAGTTATATTTTTTTATAGTAAATTCACTTAACCCAATTAAAATGGTGTGAAATTACAAGCCATCCTGTAAGCTTACAGATACAGAAAAAATGCTATAAGGCTGCTGATATGAAGCTTGCAATGAACAAGGTTGTTGTAAATGCTCAATGGCATGTTCCATGGATAGGGTAATATCGCATCAATAATACAGTAATATACAGTAATATATAATACTGTATTTACTTAATATTATACTGTATATAATATACAGTAATATAATGTAATATACAGTATAATACAGTAATCATCTACAATGAAAGAGGAGGACTTCAGAGTACTGTTAGTAATGGATGAGTACACTCTGCATGCTTCAAATGTTTTAAAATGAAGTTTTATTCCAAGTGTCCAAGTAGCCCTGTTCGACGAGGCTACTAAGGACACTCTTTTTTTTTGCTTCTGGCACCTTATGAATAGCATATGGAATTTTTTTGATGATGCCATTTGATAGCCCTCACAAGGAGCTATAAAATGAGCCTAAACTTGTTTATGAAATGTTTCATCATAAGAAGTTATTAACAGCTAAAAACAAAAAAATGCTCAAAAACAAAAAAACGCTCAAAAACAAAAAAAAAATGCTCAAAAAAAAAAAAAAAAAACGCTCAAAACTGTCCCGAGTAGCCCCGGTTGACGGTAATAGATAGTAAAAATGTTGAAATTTACGCCACTATTTTTAGTTTTGCAATATTTTGATTAGTTTAGCTGCTACAACATTTCTACAAAATGTGGGACGCGCATCCTGAGTTACCCTGCCTGTCCCCTTTTACCCCGTTTGATGGTATATGAAAGTCTACTCTATATGTATTACCGTATATGTTTGGCCTGTTGCTTAAATTATGTAATTTTTATTTCAGACTCTTCACTAGTCAAATCATGGCCCTTGAACTAGCTTCAGAGACTGTTTGGTTTGAGAAGTGGCGGTATGATGATGCCGAGTGCAAATATCATGAACAGAAAAATCAGGTCAGTTCTTTTTATTCTTTTCATGTGATAAGTAAGAAGTAAATTTTGGAATAGCCTGTGGGTGCAAGAAAAGGTATTTTCCTGTTGAGATATTAAATCTTTTATCATGACATTTCTCTTATCCATATTATGCATTGAGTTGGTGTAAAAAGTGCTAAACTATTACTTGATAAATATTAGATTTTATGACAGCACAGCTCTATTTGTTTAATCCTGCACAATTACTACTTTTTTCTGCAGAATTTTCATTGGATTTATGGGAATGAACTGTATGGACATCTTCATTTTGTAGACTTTGGCAGCTGAATGATTTGTGTTGGTTCCTCTCTTTGAACAGAATTGTATAAATAATGGTAAGATGCTCCTCAGTATGCCATTAATGGCGGTGTTTATTTTGGACCCACACTATAATACTTTAGCTGATCTGATGTTTCTTATCTTTCATGCTGCCTTCTCAGAGATCAAGCTCAATAATGAGCTGCAAGGTGTGTTAATTTTATACAGCCACTCTTACCATCCTCTTATTGTTGCCTTCTATCCATACAACCTTTTAATTATATTAATATGTACTTGCTCTTTAAGGTCACTATTTATTAGTTGGATTGAAAATTCCCGAACATGAGACTGTAAATACAGAAAAATACCTATTCAAAAATTGTGAATAATGGTTTTCCAGACATGAACTAACTCTAATTGTAAAACTATTTTATATAATGTAAGATTTTAAAACAGTAAGATTTCATAACACATCCACTTCTATACTGTTTCTGGCTATTGTTTCATATGTTTTGTTCTTGATGTCAGCTGCTCATATCACTAAATTTCTCCTATCACAAATATATTCTTGAAATCACATCCTTTCCTCCAAAGATAAATTAGTTCTTAATTCTATACAAACCATAAGTCAACTTTCATCTGACATTTTCATCGAAGATGTTATTGGGTTGAAATTTTGAAGGATTTGTGGTAACTGGAGGTTGTCTTCCTGGCAGGCTTCTGCAACCCCAATGCTAGGTTCTTTGGCCAACCAGATTGCAAGGGCTCGAGAAGACATACAAAACAGTCGTGCTGCCTCAGTGAGTGATCAGATCCTGCCATAGAGCTGCTTCTCTGGCTAGTGCATCTTAACTGTTGCTAAGTAGTGGCAAACTAGAGCCTATTGTCAATGGCATTGATGTTATGCACTGCTTCAGCATCTGCATCCTCATTTATGGTTTGGAATAATTTTACCATGCTAAGATATTGGATGGCAGCTCCAGTTCTTCTGAAGATGCTGGATTAAATTGCTTTGTAAAAGCTCATGTTTTCTACTGATTGTTTACCTGTGGCTGCATCTAATTGTTAGTGAAGCCCTTCTCAATGCCATGATAATTCCCTTGTCTGCATGATCTAATCAAGGCTTTATGTACATACCTTTTCTTTTTGCCTTGCTTGTGCCATTGTGTCTTCTTGGTTGTTGCTCATCTGCTTTGCTGTTGTTCCTTATGGATGAATAATTTCATCCCTACACTCGCTTCCTTCTAGAAAGATTTACTTCATTTTGCCACTTGTATTTTCTATGTATTTTGCTTTTGATGTCTTGTTAGCTAGGAGTTAAGAATCCAAAAGAGCAAAATTTGGTAATTTAATGCCATTTCATAAGCATCTTCATCTCTTTTTTTAAGTGTTCATTTTCCTCAATGGTAGTAACATAACCACTGCATTTTGTTGTTTATTGCTGCAATAGGATGCTCTGACATTCTTTTATGTTGAGATTAGAAGTTTATTGCATATAACTCCAACACTTGTTTAAGTTCTGTCATGGATGTTATGATTGAGTGACTTTCTTTTGTGTCCCATGTCTTGTTGATGTTCTTATACATCTGGCTCTTTTAGCATGTATTCTTTGTATAGCTAGTAATTCTGTCTTCACTGTACTAATAAAATGCCATTATATCATACTGATTTTTAATTTAAGGCTTTTATGTATATTCTACCCTAATATTTTGTCTTGATCAAAATACAGAATCAATGATTATGTAATAGAGTGAACAAAGGCACTAATCCCACATTGACAATTTGTAATTCCGCATTCAAATAATCTCATCAGTAAGTAATCTTTCGACAATTTACATTGCGTTAAATCTCTATTTGCTGCTAATCTTAGTATCACAAGCTATTGTTTCTCCACACAGATTTGTTAGCATGATAAATGTTAATGTGTTCCACCTCTTCGTCTCAGCTTATATTCATTTTAGCTTATCGCTGTGACTGCTTCCTTCTTTCAATGATGTCATAATAAACCACTTGTTTTGATATTTTTTGCATCATAGGAGTGAACAGTTATTACATTGTCTTCTCTTCTGTTCAATGATTTAAATTTAAAAACAGTTTTGCTCTAACTGCAGTTTATTGTGACAGAATCTTCTGCCATCAAGCATTGGAGCTCCGGCTGATGTTGTCAATCGTATTACGAAGCTGGAAGGTGAAAATGCTTCATTACGTAAGAGTAAGTTGTCTATGAACTATTCCAAGTTTATTGTTTGTTTAAATGCTGATTGTTATAACCAAAGGCTGTGCTTTCTTCACTAATTTTGTGATTGTCTTCACTTCTGGCAGTAAATGAAATAACTTCTTGTTCTGGCATCATTCATTATAAAACTGTGCACAATGAAATTTATAATCAATGAGAAAATTGGTAGCTGGAAATACTCTCTGGTTTTCAAAGTTACATTCAATAAAGAACTAGGTATTACTGCCAACTATACCAATACCGTAAGAATAAATGAATCAATATGACAGGCTCTAGTTTAGGGTTTAGATAATTTTTAGCTGATCAATAGGGATTTTTACCATCATGCTTCAGTTTAGAAACATGCATATGATGAGATTATGTACCTATTCCTATATTTAATTCTAGATCTTTTACAAGGTCTTAACAGCCCTTTTGCAAGCATTAATGGCTACCTAACCGGAACTTTTTAATTTATTCTATTTTATCCTATTTTAACACGTTGACTACGATTGGTTCACCTTGTACTTTTGTTTCATTTTTCTAGTACTATTATGGAACAGGGTTGCCAGACTTTCTTTTTTTACCGGACAAATTCCGCGATTTAGTTTTTTCAATTTAGGTAGTCGGCTAAAATTTATGATAGGGGTTGTAAGGGGCGCTTCCTAATTAACTAAAAAAATTGAATTTTTACACCGGAACCTACAAATATACTAGTATATATTGAGTTATAGGCCTTTTTGGCCTTTTTGTTCACGGACTTAATTGGCCGTTTTTTAGGCCATCTGGCAACCCTGAATTATGTGCCAGGAGAAATACATTTCGTGGTACGCATATGTACCAATACGTAGTCAACGTGTTAAAAGTTATTCTGGAGCTAATTATATCCTGTTTACTGTTGGAATGTTGCAACGTCAACAGAATCTTCAATGTTTCTTGTGCAAAGTCAATTATTAGATATTTTACAGTAATCCTTCAGTCACATATCATTTGTGAATTGAAATTTTTGTCTAGATGTACTTGAAGAAAGAGCTAATCAATGATAGACGAGGAGATTCCTGTAAGCCATAAAATTTCCCAAGAATTTCTTGTGAGAATTTTAATCAAGACTAGAACTGAAAAGAAAGAGAAACTTGACAATTGTTTGGTAGTTTTTGTATAGGTTTCACGTAGGCTACTTTTTTCCTTCAAATTATAATTTGGATGACAATAAGATTCGATATATTGTGAATGCAAACGAGCAACTTGCTAATTAATCATAATTTCTAGTTGTCCATTGAACTTATTTTTAAGAACAAATTCTGCCGTGTTGTGCTAATATTATTACTATTGAATCCTTATTTTTCAGGCGTGCAGAGTTTAGAAACCACATTGGCCCAAGTGACAGCGCGGCTAGCGGCGCTCGAGTGTTCCTGCTCTGCTACTGCAAAAGCCTCCCCTCCTCAGCTGCAGAAGCCGTCGTCTCAAAAACAAGAGCAAGACAGCAAGGCTAACGACGACGACGACGATGAAGATGTAGATCTTTTTGGCTCTGATGAGGTGACAAAACTGTACAGTTGGTGTTGGTTCAATTTGAATTTTTTGACAATTTTCAGTAGTTATGACACAAAACTACTAGTACTCAAGTGATAACATAGGTAGGCCTAGGATATATGAATAGCTATTTTGTAGTTTTGTAGTTAGAATTACCATAATGTGAATTGGTTGGAAGCGAACAACCTAAGTTTTGGTTACATACTAATCATCTAAATTTGACTGAATCTTTTAATTGTTATTAGATGTAAAATAGTTCATTCGGACCAGCTGTGTAGCCTAATTTATTTTAGTAATGCAACAAAGCAGAATATGTATGGAGGAAAAAGTAGGTCGTGAAAACAGCTCATTATTCTAACAAATGAGGCTTGACCTCTTCAACGACTAGAATTTTGGAACAAAATTTCTAGGCTATAATTATCTTAATATTTTTTTCATTTGCGTTAATCTAATGTAATGTTGGTTAAGAAACCTCAGAAAATCGAGTGTCTCTTGCGGCAATAGGTTAAGTGATACTGTAACTCAAGGATTATGGATGATAGTGTGCCTTGAACCAATATGAATTGGTTTTACTACTGATATTTATGATTAATGTGCTCTTTAGTACACGATTTCTACTTTCAAAAATTGTATTTTAATCATTATTTTGTTCAATCTACCCTGTAAATGATTAGTTTTAAATAATTTCCGATACTTCATAGTTTGTATTGTGATTGAAGTTAATGATAACTTAAGTACTCCACTGTGAAACGATCTTTGCCATAACAATCCGATCAGTTACCTATTTTTTTAAGAGTTTATTTTGCACGTAGGAACTTTCCAGCCCATGTGCATTAATGTTGTTGGTTGCAGGAGGAAGAAAGTGCAGAGGCAATCCGTGTGCGAGAAGAGCGACTCAAGTCATACGCTGAGAAGAAGAGCAAGAAGGCGGGACCCATCGCTAAGTCGTCAGTCCTGCTGGACTGCAAGCCCTGGGATGACGAGACAGATCTTAAAGTCATGGAAGAACACATCAGACGAATTGAGATGGATGGACTTGTTTGGGGAGCAGGTAAGTCTTTTATTTAGTTTGTATTTTTTTAATACTGTTCATGACAAATTTTCTCGGATTTTACTGGGCACTGGCTTTCGTTGCGAATTATCACTGTTATTGTATTCAACATTGTGCGGTTTTGTTGACCCTATCGTTCGAAAATTGGGAAACTGGTTCTAAAGAAAATATGAATTAATTTTCTTTGGATAACTTGTAACTTTGAAACTTAATTTTTTTTTTATAATTTTAGGCATTTGAGCTCAAACGAGGTGTAGCATTCACAGTTTAAAGAGGCATTACAACGCAACAGCACTCATTTGTTGTTGCCTAATATGCTAACTATTGCTACGTTTATGACTAAATTATATCACTAGCCTTCGCTACACATTGCTTGTGTTACAGCTAAACAAGTTCCTCTGGCTTTTGGCATCCACAAACTATCCATCCTATGCACGGTCGAGGACGAGAAAGTTTCTATCGATGACCTCAGCGAGAAAATTCAGGAGCTCGAGGATTATGTGAGTAGCATCTGCCTCTTACTATCATATTTTAATTAATACTGATTTTATTACAATTGCATTATGAAATGCCTATTCTTTGTGGCTTCACTGGCTATGGAATATGATTAATTCCATGCACCGGCGTGACAGCGTGTTGTGTCCTGTTCCGTAATTCAGCCTATAATTTGATGCACTAGAATGACTAAAGCTTCATACCTTGGAAGACAGCATAGAAACTTTCTTTCTGTTCAATAATATGAAGATTGAGCCTTACATGTTATTCATAATATGTCATCGTGCCTTTTTCTTGATGCACGGATGTTCGTGCTGGTATAGCGTGCTGAGGATATCATTTCTTCTGATGAATGAGATGAATGTTATTCTTTTTTTTTTGCCAATTTTGAGACATAAAACATTTTTAATGGGAACAATTATGTAACATAACAAAGGAAAAGCGTTATATCTGATGCACTGGCTAAATTTGTGCCCATTATACTGCCAATACAATTTCACTCGCCCCGTGGAAGTCTGAATCTATTTAAGTTTTCCTTCCTTTCAACAGGTCCAGAGCGTAGATGTAGCCGCCTTCAACAAAATCTAAGCAGCCTTGCCATTAAATATTAATGATTAATGCTGACTTTTTTTATCCATTGGTAATATTAAGCGGCGTGCTCCATATTTTTTGCGTTAATTTGACTGTATTACGACAATATGTATAGCGTGCTCGTAGTTCGTAACTAACAGAGCCTTGTGAAAGTAATAAATATATCTGCTTGGTAACGTACAGCATTTTAGTACCACATGACTTCTACATACATTTTTGGTTAACATAGAACCGTTTATGTTAGAATGTTTAATGAAGAGAGAAACGCATGAAGTTGATGTATTAACTCGAGCTATTTATTGGAACGTCAGTTTTTGTCAAGTTCTGGTTTATCTCAATTTTAGTAAAGAAAAATCCATTACTCTTCAAAAGTCTATTTAGCTTCTGGGATTTTCTGGCGTATGTTTATACGCCTTGCTGATAACAATAATCTCGGGGACTTCATCGTATCGGAATTTCTACTGTCGAAAAAGTGAAGTGTGTTTTCCCGTCTCATGTCGAAATGCGGTTGTCAGTTGGAGTGGCCCCAACGCGTGATCTGTTATTTTGGGCGTTATCAGGTATTGATAGTGTCAGGGACATGTCATCTGATTACAATCTTAATAATGTCATGGTGTTTACATTGCTACGTTAGAGAGGTGCATGCATGGTGAAGGTCACAACTAGAAACTTTTCTGCTACCCACCGAGTCTTTGGCACATCTCTTTACTGGGCACATAAGATTTGTTGAAGAATAATTGGTATTTTGTTACTACTGGTATTCCAGCGCGTTGATTCGAAACATCGCTGGAAAAAATGAATTTCTATTAGAAGAATAATATTCATAATACGGTAAACAGAGACTGTTCAGCGCCACCAATGCGCTCAGATCTGAGTGTTATTTTAACAAAACCGTCCTTTTCATACCGTCTGCCACGGAGCGTGGACGTTCTGTGTAAATGTGAAATAGCTTTGGTTTTTTTACAACACTTCTACTTATCCTATCGATCAGATTTTGTACGCTTGCGTAAAGTTGGAGTCAATGCATGAATCAAATGACAAAATAAATGATTTTCTTCACCTATGGACACTTCGAAGTGGAAACTCGATTATATATATTTCTATGAAAATTACAGATCAATTCATTAAAAATATTCAGAGTTGCTTCATAAACTAAGGAAACAAACTGTTCAAAATTTCATAAGACTGCTTGCTGTAGGTGTGGAATTATTTAGTACCAACCCTAATTACTTGGGTGTATGGAAAAACCTTAAGATGTTTTGAACGGAGGGAAACATTTTTAATCAAATCTTCGTAAGCGCGTCTGACTGAATCATCCATTCCAAGTTCATGAATGATGTTATCCTCCATTTCAGATGTCTAATGCTTCTTCATTTTCTCTAATTATAATAGTGCCGGCGCTGATATGCCAAGTTTTCACTGTCGCCCATACATGTTATTTTATTTCGTTGTTCACGAGAAGTCCAAAAAAATTTAACTCAGTACTCACTGCAGTGAGTGAGAGAGAGCGCATTTTCTCGACGAAAACTTGAGGTCACGGACGGACAGACAGACGGACATGGCGAGCACAATAGTGCATTTTTTCAAAAATTAAAAATGCGCAAAAAATGGCCTTTTGACTAGAGCTTTTTAAAGCTAACGTTACATTAAATAACTACTGGACTGGATGTCCGTTTGGTGGATGGCACCGTGTGGTTAACCTATACGCCTGTTCGCAGAGGTAAAATTCTATTTCGGTAATACCTAGAGCCAGATACTCTGCTATATGATTATTCTCGTACTTATTGGATAATCTGTCGATAATTCAACCGCAAATTAATCGAAACTATGAACAGACATGTAACTCTGCTTGACAGAACGTCAATCCCTAACCTTAAGTCTAAACTGATTAAATGAGTGGCAGGTATGAACACGTTTTTATCTGGGTTGAAATAACGGATGTTTCCATGGCGGTGATATCAGGATAGGAATGAAAGAATAACGAAACAGCTGCCGCGCAAATACTACGGGATTGGGCCGGCAAGGATTGTAAGATGAACGGAGTAGGACGTTTGGGTCACTGCATCTTCGTTAGTTCTGATTTGATTCTTTGAAAAATTTCTCACCCTATAGTCAGTTCTTTATAAAAAAAATAAAATTAAAAAAAAAATCCATGAGTTAAAGTTACGCAATGGAGGCGTCACTAGATTCTTTAGGATGGGGGGCAAAGCCCCAATATTTAAAACCATATTTAAATTAATAACGTCAGGTTGGATGGTTATTTATGTGAACTAATATTCAGGCATCATGACATTACTTTATTAGTATTAAAAATAATTGTAATAATTTTAAGGAATGAACATACAATTATTTAGGGGCCAAAGAATATTTTAGGAGGGCTGTAACTCCCCTAATACTATCCCATGCATATGTTCCCATAGGATGATCAGAAAAAAAACCTTTTCGTAAATTTCTGCCTCGTACTACGAACGTTTTCATGACAAAGATATTTACTGGTTAGTACAACGTATGTATGGGATGGCGTGGGTCTCTTTGACAACTTATGCCTTTAAATAAATCGACGACTGTAATCTAAAAAACAGTTATAATGATGAACAATGTCTACAATGCACGCTACGCAGTAAAGAACACGCTGCGCAATACGAAAAGTGGCGCCCCTAGGATCTAAGGCTTGTCTTGAGACGCAACTCATCTTTTTCTCTGATTGATCACGCGACAAAGTTCAGGGCAAGTGGGCGATCAAACCTTGACCTGTGAGGCGTCGCCAGATATGAATCCACTGTATTTCAACGTAACCACGGAATTTTGAGGATACAAGAGCGTTTGTATAGCGGTTAAATTAAATACGGCCGGTATAGTTTCATCCTTCGTTAAAAGCATTCTAATTTTTTATACAGTACTAACGTATTTCTATTTTATTAAATTTAAAATTGACAGTCACGATAACTTTGCGACTCCAACCATTGATGGAACCTTCTTGTATTACTTAAACTTGTCTACATCTTATCGATATCAAACCTAATCTCCTTTTACATTTCTTTTATACTTCTGATGGAATAATAAATTTTATCATACTTATTCGTTATAATGTCCTCACAAACTCACACATGACATAAAATATGAATACTTTATATAAAAGCACAAATGTTATTTAACTCATGAATTATGATCATGCCCATTTATGTTATGTACTATATTTATTGACATAACATTTTTCTACACTAATTATGATCCCTCGTACTTCAACATAATATATATTTCCACACGAGTAGTCATAGCTATTTTCTCCGTCAGTGATAACTTTTTTCAATATGACAAAAATAATACGCTTATCATTACTTTTCCAAATAATATCGTAACCTAATTCTACATGACGAGTTACCCCACTTACTTATATTTACGTCGCATATATGAGTTCTCATATATGTATAGGAACCTTAAAAATAATCAGTTTCATCATGTAAAAAAGTAGAAATTAGAAACTTCTCTAAGGAAGTCTAGGTTAGGCAGTAATACGATGGATACACTGGAATGATTATAATTAATAATTTGAATTAAAATGCTATAGAATCCAAATAATACGCTACAATCAATAAAAAAAATAGTGCATCAAAAAATAATGATTGTGAGAATTTCCCGAAGGTTTTCTTCCTTATCTGGAAGCAAGTCATGCAGCGTACGATTGATAAGGAGATTATTTGTATACCGTAATTACGTTGATTAGTTGAGTGTTTATTAGAGAAATCGAAACGTGTGATAGCTTACTGGTGCAAACAACATGAATTGCAGATATCAGTTATTAATAGATTCTTCGGAAAATCTGCTGCGATTCGGTTCTTGAGTATGAAAATCGTTGCAGTAGCATTTATAGTAATTAGTCAGCTTACATATTACTCCCGGAAAATAATACGTTATATTATATGTGCAGTCCATTGTAATTAAATATGCTTCTTCTTCACCTTGCTTCTTGTTTAAAATAGAATTGATCATTTTGAATCTTGCGTTCCTTATTAAAATTTATTCTATCATGCCGAAGATAACATTTGTTCTAACTATATGCCGCAATATCATATTTGGTAGAGTTTAGGGTGCCTGGAGTTTAATTTAGCTTCGTTCACGATTTTTTTCTTGAAAAATTGAATTAAAGAAGAGTTACGGCAGGTGTTCTGAAAAATTTTGCAAAATCCGGATTTTTTGTTCGAAAATTTTGCGATTAACTTGCCAACGAATTTGTATCACATTTATATATAAAAAATGATAGCAGAATAACCCCGCATTGTTCTGAATTAAGGACAGGTCAACAGGTTGAGGTCAGCCTGGCATGTTAAGAACATGAATGCTGTACAATCAAATATAATTGAGCCATGCACTGAGAATGATATGCGAGCATTTATGAAAAATGTGTTACCATTTCCTCTGCTCCAAGTCTGAATTAATTGCGATGAAATTTGTTCTTTATGAGGAGCTATTAAAAAATAACTATCCGACGATGGAATCTCTGATACCGAGGGAGGCTTGAGATAACTGGACACCGTATATAGAATTCATGTTAGATAAGTAAATAGAATGCGTAGTGCATGCGATTGTTGATCGTATAGGCGGATATGAAAAATAGGTAAGATATAACAACAATTGAGTGAGCGCAAATCAAAGTGTAGGTATGCCATCATCAGTATAATCAAACAAAATAGAAATTTGGCAGGTCAAATAATCCAGATGTTTCATTTTCAGCATTTGCAAAATAAAAGACAACTGGTTGTCCCTTTAATAATGAGCTGTAATGAGCTTATTTTGCACTGAATAAATTCTCGGGACTAAATTCGTTGCAGGATTGTAGGGGTCACGCTCAAGCAATACACCGGTGTGTTAAGATCTTGCTTTGGCTTCCATTAATGGCACAGCTGTGAAGTTCTCTCGCAAAAATTCGATGAGTCATGAGGAGGAAGTACATACATATAGCTCTCTGCCTATATATGAGTGGATGATTCCTCTTATCTTTTATCTAAAATCTTCTCGATAGATGAGCTGTCAACCGGATGTCCACTTTCAGGATGAATTCCGATGTCATCTCATTCAAATTCCTTCCCTTTAGCAACACAAATGTCATCAGCTCCTGTGTACAAAATAATAGAAGAAATACTTCCAGAACCACGCATCCAGAATACGAGCGAACTCACCAATTTTTTATACCTACCGATATTTTATTAGGCCTTAAAAAAAGGCGATGTCCAAATTCAACTTTTATCCGCGTACTACATCTCAGACCAAGTAGGTCCGAGAAAAGAATTCGAGCACACGTTCTCGTATACAGAAATCGGGAGGAATACAACTGAGTCTTTAGGACAGTACAGCATCGTTGTATCAGACGAACACTCGGCCCAACATGACTGCAAAAAGAAATTAACTAAACTCTAAAACGTCCAGAAATGGAAGGGTGCGAATCATATGGTTTTAACAAGATTTCAAGCTTTGCCAATATGGACACAGTCAAGTATAGACAAGTAATTTCTCAGAAAACACTCCTCAAACTTATAAATGCAAACAAATAATTAAGAAGACAAAGTCAAGGCTGTAGCAAATCTTAATCAAGTTTTGAGTTTCGAGAATCGAAAATTGTATTTCACTGTGTCACTTCAATTAATTACCCTTTCTTCAACGCACCTTAAAATCTTTTGCGACCAGCTGTTAATAATTTAGAGAGGCAATTAAGAGACCATGCATATATAGTGGAAAAATATGAAATTATAAATAAAATGTAAGAACTCGGTTCTTCTTATCAAGGTAGGAATACATATTAAGATATTCAATTAAAGTTAAAAAGGCTAAGGCCAAGGCGGTTACCTATACCACAGTAAAGGGCAAAACCCAAGATTAAGTCCGCGTTTGCCTCCTGAGTAAAGTAAGGGCAAACATGCATATAAACGTAATTATTTTGGCAATTATTTAGAAATGCGTCTTGTAACTTGATAATAAATGATTGTTACATTCGAAATGTCGCTAACGAAATAAAAATGTCCATCGGTACCCTAATTTTATATTTAACAGTGCAAATTAAAAATACTGTTCGATATATTAAAAAAAAACGAATAAGAAAATTATCAATAAAACAAATTCTCTGGTCTTCAATGAAACCTGATTAAAGGAACAAATTCTGCCAACCTATACTAATTTAACGTAAATGAACATATCGAAAACTAAGAGTGATCGCTAAAAAAATTAATTAAGAAGGTATATATGACGTTAATTACAGAAGCGCGTCCAAGACAATCGGTCTTTCACCTTCTAGTTACAATGCCAACCACTGAACCACTATTTATAAACATATACTATCAACAGGTATGGAGGAAAATAATATAAGAGTATAAACGCAAAAATATCGGAATTTTCTAACGATCTTGACGTAAGAGTTTAAGACGATAATTTCTAGTAATAACAGAGAATAGGATTTTATGAGGCAATCATTGTATCGCCGGACCTTCATGATCAATTTCAGCGGTTTCGTATTGTAGTGAGGTGGTTCCTTCTGTGGATTCACTATAAATGAGAAAAAGGTAAAATTCTTGAGAGAAAAGTGAAGATTTTTTATTTTGTTTTAGAATAGAGTTAAAAGTTTAACTGACAATCTTGTGGCAGGAGCAGCATGACAGCGCTCAACATGCTTCGAAGCTCCACACAAGTTTAACTCATCCCCGGGCAATCAAAAGCGAATATGATTTATTGTGATTTCAAAATAAAATTATTTCTCATGGTAGGAATTCTCGTATTTCTTACCTTCCAATATTATATGACATATAATATGCAATCGTAGTAACTTTCTCAAATCGTTCACTTTATTTCACCATACGATATTATGTGCAATCTAAATATTTCCTCGCGAATTTGCCATACGCATTAGAACTGAAATACAGTTTCTCAGCGTTTTATATCGCTATTCAAAATTCTGTTATTAATATTTTTCGATTCGCAATGACGGGCTTAATGTTTTCAATTGTTATCAACAGATTTACAAATTCTTCGTTGCATGGTTTTACATACAACTTATTCTATTTACTTGTTCAAAACAACTTCCGGCTGCTGGCCTCTGCATGATGGGAGTATGGAGAACAAATGCGTCACGATGACCCAGTCCCACGACATTTTGATGTAATATACCGAATAGCATATATATACTCAACCTATCGATAGAATATAAGAAAAAATTTTGAATTAGGAATACCCACACGTACGATGAAAAACAAACATCATCGTGCATATAATACAACATGTGCTCATTTACATCCCAATTGGCTGCACAAGAGATCATGGATGATAGCGATTACGAAGATAAGAAATCTAAACCAATAGAAATTAGTCATCGCAATCTTTCGAGGTGGCCGAGACTGGAGATTTGCCATCAACCTGGCACGAATTTTCTTCCGAGGTTTCTTCGGTGGTCGCTAAATTCTGTTGGTTAGTCGAAAACTTCATAGGCGCTTGGAAACATATCTGCTCCTCTCACCTCACAAATCAGCGTTCCCTCAATGATTGGATGATTTAGGAGATAATACTATGAAAAGATGGCTGAGTCCAGATTTCACGAACGACAACGAGTTAGCTAAGCTACTTTATTCGGTTTACAGTAATTCTTTGTAATTTGGTTTCTCCGATCAATTTTTGGTTCCATTACCTGATTTCAGGCGGATCTCCTGCTAAACATGTTTTCTAGGTTTAATTCGTTAAGTTTGGAACTTTGTACCTATGTATGTATGTATGTATGTATGTACTAACTGCATTTATCTTTTTCAGGATTTCCAGGTGAATTTCAAAGATATTTTGCAGATTGTTAAGCTAAATTTACACCACAAAGATGTTCTCTTCAAGCAGATCAGCCCTCGCCTCCGCACGCCAGTGCAGGCAAATGTCGCACGCAAGCAACAAACTCAGCGGTCAAGTGGCCGTCCTCACCGGCTCTACGGACGGGTAAATAATGTTCTCCACGATCTAATAAGGAATTTATATGCCATTTCAGGTTTTAATAACCATATTCCAAAAAACTAATTCATCTGATCAATATAAAATTCAGCAGAAATTTTTAGATTACTTCATTACAGCTTCGAATTCTTCTATCTCGCTGTCTGAAATGTAAGAAAAATATATGAATACCATCGCGAAATTACCACAATAAATAACTGCTTAATATAATATTATATTAAAATAATATTTTCATATCCCTCAACTTATCTGTACCTTAAGGTGAAAACATGGAGACTTCCACATGATATTCATATCGTCCCACATGAAAAAACACACTTGTTAATTATTCATACCGAACTTCCCCCCGTAACAAACTAACCTCTCTTTATTCACCATTAAGATATTCCTCTCATACCTTCCCAACCTGTTATTCATACCTAAAGTTCAAAATTACTTATAGTTCTTATAATAAACTACTTATTACTTATAATTAATACAATTATTTATAATAACTAATGTTCAAGTTGCTGCGTCAATGTACAGCATGGGGCTGGCGATCGCGAAGCGCATGGGCCAGGAGGGCGCGCGCGTGGTGGTAAGCAGCCGGCGGAGCCACAACGTGGAGCGCGCCGTGCAGGAGATGCACGAACAGGTTAGTGAACTGTTTACTATTGTTTAAATGATTATCATTGGCGTGCAGTGCAATGTCAGCAAACCCGAGGACAGGCACAACTTGATCGATCAAGTTAGTGAACTGTTTACCATTGTTTAAATGATTATCATTGGCGTGCTTTGCGTGCAGTGCAATGATGATCATCGTAAGGTGCGTACGATGATCTAGCTGGTCTCCGTAACAATTTGATGGAAAATGTGATGCAATTGTTTGCCGTTTTCTTAGCTTTGATTTCTAACTTGCGATTTGAGCAGACTAAACGCTTAACTACATAAGATGGTACAAATCGCAATTAAGCGTTCAAAAACAGCAATTGAATCTATTTTTCTCGTATTTTTTTTTCAGCCCAAAATTAAGGCAAATTACTTGGGAAACATTAAAAATGCCCTGAAAGATGCTTGACTCGATACGCATACATCGCGCTCAGATGAAATTCCTAACGCAGCATTTCCATACATTCGTGAGATTTTACCGACGGAACTAGTCTCTCATGAGGCATAAAAATCGTTAACTAAAACTAAAAATTACGTTAACTTAACTAATTAAAAAATCGTCGAAAGACGAGTTAGCAGATGCAGAGATGTCGATCGGTCATGAAAAAACTAAAAGTTACCTATGTTCCTCAATTAAGATTTAACATGTAATAAAAATTGTATGGAGTCATGAAATTTAAATAATTATAATCAAACACCTTTTAAAGTCCTAAACAGGTTACCACATCAAACAAAATTGACCTGATAAAACTAAAAAATTATCGTTATCGCTTAGCTCTTGAGGGACCCATTAGGCAAATCTCCAATTCTGTACTGCTTATCAGCTCCCAAAATGCCTTATCAGAAGAGCATGTGATCACAATAGCTCGCATTTCTGGACCCTAATAAATTGTTCATGAATGTCTTTTTTTATAACTTTAAACCGGTCACGAACGTTGAGAATCTATCTCTCGTTAAGATCAAGGAAAATTTCAAAGTTTAGCATTAAAATTCGTTTTTCGAATCATTACTTCAGAGGAAAGTTTACGATGAAAATATTGTGCCATTAACTTATCGCAATGTAGATGTGGAGCAACGTCTTGGAGTAATGTTTTGCGATCGATATTTATAGTACACTTACATATATTACTTTACATTTATACACCACTTGTATAACATTAAACTCATATAAATTATCACTTAATAAGATAATAAAATACTTAATTATGCAATGCAACATGTTTCGTGGAAAATAGATACAGAAACACGATTGACTTTTGTAACTTGTCTGTATTCTTCCTCAAAAAATATACTGCGCACATATGATAGTAAACTTGACTTGACGTGCCCATCGATCGGCCTCGTGATGGACAAGCTACTCCGTCATGAATCGAATTATATATTCCGACAATTCACTGAATCTATAAATAAAAATTTATTGCAATATAATTATTTTGCTTCTTGTATTCAATGAACATTCGGTGAAAAAAATTAATTGTTTACGAAAGACAATTTTTTGAACGCCCAATTTTCCATTATTTCCTTTGGAGGTCAGTCAGTGTTATGTATTAAAATTAGGTATTTTCTTCTTATACTAAGATGATTTTAATAGTAAATTAACATCTTGCAGGCTGTTTCTAAGTGGGGTACCGTTGACATCTTCGTGACAAACGCTGGCGTGAATCCTGCCACAGGCTGGCTGCTCGATGTAAGTTGCAACAGTCACGTGATTCTTATACAACTTAGTCATTATTATTGCGCTACTCATTTTTTTATTCTATCTTACAATAATAATTTTTAACTTTTATTTACGTCTTTAGTATATTTTTGTCCCTCCACCATACACGTCAATGTTGCTTTACTGCCCGCGCAGGCAGACACGATTTGTTTTACCAGAAGTGCATTCCGGATCCTGGAAGTAGACTGGAACAATACAATTTTCTCTTTTATATGCATTGATCCTACGTTGGATCGAGTAGAAAAAGGCAGTTCTCTATGAGTTCTGATGTAAAACCGGCACCCTAGTAATTTTTAAGACTTTCTTACTATATGATTAAGTAATAAAATAATTGGTTTTGACTGTGGCTCGCGCGGGAGGTATATCAAGCCCAGTTTTCACAATATCCTAAAGCACCGAACTATTAAAAATAGACTAGTAGCTAATTGACGCTCGGTGAGACAGAGTTACAGTTATGTGATCGATATCGGTGACATGTTCCCTTGGTGACATGACTGAGTTCTCTGTGCGACAAACTTTAAATTGTTTTTATCAGATCATGGGGGGCTTAAATAGCAAATTCGTTTTCTACACTTAGGCGTACAAAATTTGGGAATACACGAATATATGTCAAGCAAATTCAAAATATAGTAAAAAATATGGCTGGTTTTATTGACATTTCCTTTGGAATTATGATTTACTTATTCTGTAATTTCATTGTTATTAAATTCTTAGCAACATTTTTCGTTGCTGAGTTAACGGATCGTAGCGCAATCCGCACGCATTTTATCAATGCGACGGTACTCAGCCCCTGAGTACCGTCGGCTCATCATTAAAAAGTTTCGTTTCAGCATCATTAAATAGTTTCGTTTCGCCAATTGCATGAATTGTTTTCATACTCTAAATCAGTGTTGTTCCAAATGCTTAATATGAATTTAAGTGGAAATCTTTCGAACTAACGGTGCAAATTGTGTGCAGTGTTCGGAGTCAGTGTGGGACAAGCTCTTCGACATTAATGTGAAGAGCACGTGGGCGCTCACGAAAACGACGGTTGCCAGCGTAATTAATACCATTTTCTACTTATCATTAATATTTTCTTGTGTCGTCATTTATTGCTCAAAATGCATTATAAAATTATGCAACGATGAACTCATACCCAAAGAAGCCGTCATCAACGGTCAATATCTGGATCTGCAGAGGTTAGACCTCCTGCGTTTTATCCTTTTTCCATTCGAGACGAGACGAGACAACAGAGTTTGTCCCGGTTAGCAATAGAAACAGGGAAAATTCCCAGTAGGCTCCTGCGTCTCGAAATAATTTTCTCGAAATGAACCGGGACAGACGAAACGAGACGAGAAAATTCCAGGAAAAAAATAACGGGACAGAGGGTAAAATTTGTCCCGGAATAAACGTATGAACCGGACTTTAAAACTTGTGTCCCGGTAAATTATGAACCGGGACGAGACAGACAGGTTTGAAACGAGACATAACGAGAAGAGACAAGATATGTCTTAATTATTTAAGACAAAACAAGTTTTTCGATTACGATACGAATTGCTTCGAAAACATGGGTTGAAGAATGACAAGTTTGCCATTTATTGCTAATAGGGCCATAGACAGTTACCAGTTAAATTGAGTTAATTGCAGATTTGGCAAAATTTGTTTGACTAACTGACATGACAGTTAATTAGTGGTCCGACAAACACCGCAAACCTGTCGATGAATGGCTGAGTATTAAGTAAAAAATGTTACCCTTAACTAAGGCTTCCATAGCACTTTATGGGAACCGTACGAGTACGAGTCGAGTTCACTACACGTTCGGAACGAATTCAGGCGCCACGGAGCGTATAGAGACGCAGTGTCTAGATTAGTCGGTCAATTAGTAGACAGTGGAGTGGAGTCCTTGTAAGATATTTTTAATAATACTAAAGCTAGTTTTAGATTATCTCTGCCTTTAGTAAAATATTGTGCTACGCCTCCAGGAAATCTTCACGATTGCGCAGTTTCCTGAATTGTTATTAAACGCTTGTTTAAGGGGGGTATCGCCTAAAATTTGGATTTTGATTTTTCCAGTTAGTAGTCTCATCTTAAAGCTGACATTCTGACCTATCCAACGGTACCATAACCATCACTGTACGTTGATTTATGCGTTCACGACATATCGCTAGAGGGTTAGGGGTGGTGGAGTTCTTTAACATTTAAGATAAGGGGAAATTAGCTGCCGAGCACTTAAATAGAGTGTCTGCTTAAGCTGCACTTCAGTTACCCGCCTGGCGTCGTATGGGGTGGTGTGCATGCAGTCGTTCCCACCATCCTTGACTGGAATCAAGCTCCAGTAACGTTTAGTTTTGTATCCTTGCTACATTGAGTGCCTATTTCGATGCGCGCGGGACTTCAGGCTCTACCGAAAAGTTAACTTATTGTCACCGCAAACCAATCTCCTCCTACAGTTTTCAAGCTACAGCATTGAAAGATATACCATTCGATTCTTAAAGACCATACCTGTCGAACAACGAAGTCCCTTTTTTAGATTTGTGCATAGTTTGGATTGAAAATGGGGGGGAGGGGGTGAAATCAGAAGAAAATGAGAAGAAAACGGGAAAATACGTGTAAAAAAAACTAAGGCAAAAATAAAAAATCAGGCTGTGTTACTCGATTGGTATGGTCTTTACGAATCGAATGGTATTCTTTCGATGCTGTAGCTTGAAAACTGTCGGCGGAGATAGATTTTTAAAGTACCCTCTTTTTTCCGTTTTCTATTAATTTCACGTTTTCTATGAATTTTTACGAAAAAATCATACGAACAAAATGTGCTTGTATTTCGGTTTTACATATATGTGTGAAATTTCAGAAAGACCCGTTAGTAAATGAGGAAGTTTTTCTGGAGGGAATATCTCCCCCCTTAACGTTATTTAGAAAGGATATACATGGATATTTCGAGTTCTTTTTTTTGAAGATCAAACTATTACATTTTTTCCAACTTGAATTTTGTTGTATTTTAAAATGTTGTTGATATTTCTTTTCTGTCCAGACTTTTTTTGAAGGAGATTGATCAAGGCAAGATCGATTAATCTGATTCTGTGATTGAGCTGGAGGCAAATCAAAGTCAGTCCAGTCAGCCGATGTCACCTCACCAGCTACAGCTAGTATGGCCTCCTCCAGACCATCATAGAACACAAGTTTTGGAAATTAAATAACGTGCTTTTCCATTTTATTTGCCTGTCAAGGTTAAGTAACATATTAAACCACAACATGTATTCGTAACAAAAATCATTTCAATTACCGAGCTCCAATCAGAATAGTAAAAGGATACGTCTCAAGTTATTATGTAAATGTATGACGGTAAGCCAAAGTTTACACCACATCAATAATTGATTCGTCTCGTTATTTCTCGTTATGTCTCGTTAAAATGGCTATAAATTCCGGGAAAATTTAAGCTACCTATTTTAACCGGGATGTCTCGTCTCGTCTCGGTATCGTCCCGGAATTCCTACGGGCGGCTGAAAATTGTCCCGGTTTTTATTGCGAACCGGGACAGAGCCTGTTGTCTCGTCTCGTCTTGGATACAAAAAATACCAAACGCAGGAGTCTAGGAGGAATAGGGAGGCGGGGCAGCGAACAACGGTGGCAAGAATGATTGAGGGAGGTGGAAGAAAGGATGAATGTAGAGAGGAATTGGTGAATAAATTGCTTAAATAATTGGGTCATGTATCGAGTGCGCGTAACATATACGGGACAGAGCTGCGTGGTTTGTCAACAAGTGTATTATTCAACGCCCCAAAGCTAAGTAAAAAAATTTGAAGACAGGCTTATTCTAAGCTTTTTATTTTACAACAGCCTTCACTTTACATAAGTCTCTTTGTCTTTCCTGAAACCTTTGTCATATGTCATTCATGGCAATGATTCAGTCTGTTCATTGATATTGCATATTTTCTTATGTTTGGGAATACTTCGTCATTGTTTCGAACAATGGGAACTGGTCAAGAAATGAAAGGCTAGAGGAATAGAACGCCTCCTCTCCCCTCCAAGCTCACCCTGATCCCCTCCCCTACCCGCTACAATTATAAACAAACAACGTTCAGTGGTGCCAGCGTCACAGCCGACGTGGGGGTGAGGGTGAGGGTGCCCTCATACCCTCAAATAGGTACGCTATATCTCGTTCACACAATCATACCCTGACAACAGGTTAACAAACACACGGACAAATCCAGTGCAAATATTGTCTCATCCCTGTAATAATAAAATATATATATTCAGTCAATTTCAGCCAAGGGGTAAATAAAACAGGAATATTGAAGAGTATATCCGCTTTTTTCAACTTCATGGGGGCTCACCCCAACTCCCTCCTCGCCTCTACATTCATCAATTGCCTTTTGTTTTCTTAGTCTCTCAGCCAGTGATCGTCGCCCCAACACAGGTTGTAAATTTGTAATAGATGCTCATGCTCTCAAGTATGGCTCTTTTGTATACTGTACATAATACAAGTGGCATCGCCTTACCACATTGTCACGCTGTGCTGTAAAAATTCTGCCAAAAGCTGTGCAAAAACAACCTCCAATGATTGCTTTATTACTATTATAGGCTATTTCTGTTGATTTTAAAACTTTTTACAGGAATTGAATGGTATGCAAGTTGTAAGGAATTTACACAATCGAAGAATTTGAATATTTTATTTTAAATGAAGTAATTTAACAAGAAACTCCAACGAGAACGGAGATGATCAATCCGCAAGGATATGATCACTCAAGGTTAAGCTTCAGCATTCAAGTTTTATTAATTTACAATCTAGATAAAAATCAGAGCATCTCCCACTCCTCTGGTCGTTTCAATTTCTTTGGCGTATAAAATATTGGCAGTTTGAGCAACAAGTAGAAAGTCCACTGCGTTACAGCTGCAGGCAGGCAGGTAGGTAGGATTCAGGATTCCTTATGATTCAGGATTGGTCGAGAAGCAGTAATGACGTTGGCATGACGTAACGACGAAAGATACCAAAAATGAAGTCCCGCTATGGCGCCCGAAAGTCGATACTGCAGAAAAAAATAAAAACCTAGTCAAAACCATATTGCAAGGCAAAAAAATCTCTCAGCACAAATGTATAGTCACAATTTAGATTCACTTTCATGCAGCAACTGACCTGAGGTTTTTAATGCCCAGTGTTTGTACTTTTGGTAGAAGAAACAAATTTAGGAAATTTAGAGGAAATCAGTAGAAGGGGTAGGAAGTTGGACTGAGAAATACAGAAAGAATAGTACGAGGTTCAACTGCGTTTGAAATTAGATCAAAGACTTAAACTAGCATAGCACAATCCTTAGCAGTAAAATCTTAACAGCCTAATCGGATAACACTACCCCGCTATCTGAATATATCTTTGAATAGAACTTTGAATATAATTTTGAGATAAATTTGAATAAAAGTAATTATAAATTTGCGTAGAGCTTTGAGATAATTAACGAGATTAATTTATTAATCTAATCGGACCAACAGAGCTTTGATTTGCAATATTAAACAAACTTGATTGTGCTATTAACTTAAAAGACGTAGCCTTAAACTAACGTCCAACTTTCCACAGAAGCAAATTTGGCATATAGTTGATGCAACCAAAAAAAAATGAAAATTGACACGACACTCACGCAAACCAAGGGATAGAGAATCAGATTTGTAGGAAGGGTTTTAGAGATACTTAATAACAGGTGAGCATGTCGCTGTTGCAGGTACTGGTTCGTAGGAAACACTGGTCAACACTGGAACAACACGGAACAAAATATTCGGATTGAAAGCTCATTACGTAGGACTGATGGAATCTACCACTGCTCTGCACTGCATAAAATACGTGAATCTCTTGAGATTGTTCTCTCAGTGCCCATCATTGACTAGTCCGCACAGTCGGACAAAGGACGACCGCACTGCGAGTCAAACAAATTACTTTATATTTATATACCCTGTATTATCATTGATTAATTAACCGAAATTTCAATAATTTTCGGTGAGAAATTTAGAATTTCTCACAAAGTAAGGCTAATTCCCTAACCCTATGTAAGGTATTTATGACAATGAAAATTTCCACATCAACATGAATGCTCCAATAGCGTGTTGTGCGTATGGAATTTGCATAGCGTCTTGTGCTACATTGCACCAGATGCATAGCGTCATATGGACTGCATAGCGTCTTCTGCTACACTATAGTTAATTTATTTCAATGAATTGCATTAAAATAATTGTTACAATGATAGCAAACGAAAACTTTTTTAAATGAATTGTGTTGTTTACGAATTTATTTCCTTCATATTTTATTATAAACTTACGATTGTGTCTCCGTTATAATCCTAACGCAAGACTCTTATTTCATATTTCATAATCAGTATGCATCAGTCATCAGTATGCATCAGACATCAGTATGGTTCAGTCATCAGTATGCATCAGTCATCAGCATGCATCGGTCATCAGTATGCATCGGTCATCAGTATGCATCGGTCATCAAAATGCATCAGTCATCAGTATTCATCAGACATCAGTATGCATCAGTCATCAGTATGCATCAGTCATCAGTATGCATCAGTCATCAGTATGCATCTTTTTCTGCACGATCTGCTAGATTATTGGGACGAAAAATCCAAGAAAATCCACAGATTACTCGAGGAGAGTTGCAAAGTCACCTGAGTGCCTCAGGAATTCAATGTCCGCGGCCAATCACTTGACCTGATAGAGATTGAGGACGAGTCAACATCTGATAGACACGTGATAGATCACGCGATCAAGACCTCAGTAGTGGGCGGAAGCGAACGTTATAAAAGGGCTAGCAACCTAGAGCAAACCCCCCAGTAGCTGATAAGCACTCCGCGATGTAGCTACACGTTCTCCGACCTTACGGTCGATGCCGTAGCTTATTCTTCTGTATCGCAACTCTGTATTACCACCCCGTATACAAGATACGTTATCTGGACTTATGTGTCTTACTTATCCCTCACTACCTTAGTCAACGAAACCCGATCCTCAGGTAGAGCTTAATATGAAGAGCTCAATATCATAGTTTGTAGTTAATTTACAACCTGTGACATCAAGTAACCAAACGAACGATAAGCACTGAACTTCACAGAAACGAATTAAAATCACGCACCCCAAGAAAGACCCCACTCGTAATGAAACGACATCGAGATGCCAGGCTGAAATTCGTCAAGGAGCATAAGGACAAAGACTATGCTTTTTGGGAAAAGGTTCTTTGGACGGACGAAACAAAAATTGAGCTTTTCGGTCGAAATTATCGTCACCATGTGTGGAGGAAAGACGGTGAGTTTGGTGTAAGTGAGTGAGTGAGTGACTGAGTTTGGTGTGTAAAGTTTGGTGGTGGCAACATCATGATCTGGGGCTGTTTCTCCGCAAAAGGTGTTGGTAACATATCACTTATAGATGGTAGGATGAATGCTGCAAACTACCAGAGCATCCTGGAAAATAATTAGACGACTTCTGTTGAGAAACTAGAGCTACCTGGTGATTGGATTTTCCAGCAGGATAACGATCCTAAGCATACTGCAAGATCCACAAAGAAATGGTTCGCTGATAGAAATGTACACGTTATGGAATGGCCAAGCCAGTCGCCGGACTTAAATCCGATTGAAAATTTGTGGCGGCATTTGAAGATTCAAATTAAGAAAAGGTCCCTAACAAACATTGAGAATCTTAAGGTGGTGTGCCAAAAAGAATGGTATAAAATACCAGTCAGCATCTGCAAATCATTGGTCGAGACGTATAGAAATAGACTGGTATCTGTTGAGCTGAATAAAGGGTATTCAACCAAGTATTAAATTAAAATAATGCGGATTTATGGTTTTGTACGAATACTTTTTTCACCCGAAGAAGTTAACATGTTGCATTAATTTTTGTTGCATTGAGATTTAATTTCTATTGATGCTCTTTTTGAATACAATGCGCCTCTATACATAATATAAATCACTTCTCCTGTTCAGTTTGTGTACTTACATACATTAAAATACGATTTTTCAAGTGTACGAATATTTATTTCCCCCCACTGTATAAGGGTATCTGTTTTTTTCTCCGAGCAACCAGTGTCGCAACTGATGAACTAACAACAGAAGGCTGTTATTCAAACGTCTCGGACCTTTAAAATCACCCCCTCTCGAGCACTTGGGGAGGGGCTTGAAGGAAGAGGGTGAGGAATTGGGACGTCCCTCTTGAACCGCCGAGTGATTATATATAATTGGAATGTCGGTGTAGCGGGCAACCGCTAGCATGTACTGGTCGTAATCGAAATGTAAATACTGGAATGGAGGGCAGTGAAAGGTCTGGTGCAGCTTATTGTAATACAAGGATTCTGGGTACAAGTAAGTTTACAATTAAGCATCGGTAACACGTCGAGAAAATAAGCCTTATTTTTTATTATAATAGAAATATAATTTATTATAATAATAGAAATTTATTATCATAGAAATCAGCATTTTTACAATCATGGCGATAATAATTGAAATCAGATATTCAGTATGAGAGTAATTCAGTGGGCATGGTCTGATATTATAATGACATTTTATGAAGCGGTGTTCAATGCATTGTTACGGACTTCTTTTTATCCTTGAAAAAATTTTTACAGGAATAGAACGACATGAAATGAAGAACATTTCTTAACCATATTCAATAAATATCTGACATGGATAATTTCCACATCGAATGGAATATTCCAACGATTACATAGAATCCTGAACGTATAGAATTTAATATGCTATACTCTAGCTCATTCAATTCAAAGATGTGCATCAAAATAATTATTCATGTGGTAGCAAATGGACAACTTTATACTAAATTGTGATGTTTTTGCATTCATTCTCTCCATATTTAAGAACATAATTACGCTCATAAACGACCATGACGTTCATAGACAAGACTGCGAAGTGGGCTGGGAGAGAAGAATGCATGTTTACCTTGAAGTGAAGATTTATAGCCTGCGCCTGCAGAAGAGTATAACAATCAGAGGTCTGGTCGTGCTTTAATCTACGGAAGTTTCACCTACCTTTGGGCTTTGAAAGCATATATCTAATACTAGAATAATAATTAAGAAATGTTTGGGGTAGTGATCAATGGAGAATAAATAGTTAAACAGACGTATATCGAGAAAATGCTAGAAAAGTCACACGCTTTACGAACATTGGGGTGCATAATTTTATCCTCCCTGATAACAGTTGATATAAAAAATTTACATAATTTATTTTAATGTCTGCGTATTGAAAATAATTAGCCAGGACAGCATTCCAAATTTCAGACTTGTATCTTATTTATGAGGGGAGTTACTGCAGTTCTAAATAGTTAAAAAAAACTCCATAGCGACTATCGCGGCTGAGCGCGTTGATGTCGAGTCCACGGGACTCTTAAATAATCCTCTGATACGAGTCTAATACGATATACATGGATAGGTAACGTAAATAATCCCCATAGCCATGTGAATAAATCCTAGTACTACGGATAAATTCTCGTAATAAAATTCGATGAAGACCACGAAGAAAACTTTTATGTATTGCTGGACAGTAAGGCACTTAATAGGCCATGCGTGCTGAACTCTTAAATGGTAACAGACCATTTCATCATAATGTATCACGTTGAATAAATGTTGAAAGATAATTAAAGTAAATCTAGACTACATTATCACACTTGTTCCAGGCATATAGTTAACAATACATCAGCTGAGGTGAATCATGTACAAAACATTAAAGCTTGCCTGACTTGATCGTCTAATTCGTGCAGTGTGATATATTTTTCTCAAGTAATAAAAATATTGACGGTAACTTGGGCTAAGATATTAATGGCATAGAACAGGTAGATATTTAATTACATTGAAACCACGCACGTTCACCCTGTTTCCCAACATAAAAAAAGCAACACACATGAAAGTCAGAGAACCGAAAGCAAAGAACTGATAGAAGAAAATCTGCCTGGCTTGAATGGCATGGCGTAAAGTCTATGATGCTTTTTGCAGCTCGGCCGCAAGATCATCGGGCAGATTGTAGAGACCACACACTTTGTTTGCAGGCAGGGAAACATCTGCAATAAATTTACATGAAGAAAATGTAAAATACATTGACAATTTGCAGCCATTAAAAACATCAATTTGAAAGCATATAAATAAAGTGTGTATGCAACTACTATTACTTATAATGAAATAATCTGCATCAAAATATTGCAAATTAGGTATTAGTAGGACGAATTAATACTAATAATACTCAAGAGACGAGACTTCTCGGAAACCGTGGCTAACCTACCTATTTTGTCCGGGTATGGCAGCCCCAAGTTGTTCATTATCTCCACGAATTCAGTGAGACTTTTGGTGAGCCGGGGGTTGTACTCCTTCTCCTCCTTGACAGAAGTAACAGTGAGCCCTGTAATGGAAACAAGTTTGTATCAAGAAATATCCACACCGAGAAAGGAAAAGATCAAATGATAAAGGTTCCTGAAACGATAACATAAAAAGTTTTTGAAGACATGATGAAAGACACTTAAAACAAACATTGACGATGTGAAACCAGTAAAAAAAAAATTAAAAATAATTAGAGCTGATATGAAAATAGTTAAGCTGATATAAATTAAAAAAAATAGAATTATTCTATGAACAAATGAAAACACGTTCAATCTAATCTAATCCATAAAGTCTTTAAATAAACAAACTAAATGTTTCAGTAAAAAGAAATATAGGTACTCTAGTATTAGGTGGCAGATTTTCATACTGAAACACAAGAAAATACTTGTGTTTCAAAATCCACCAAGTTCATTAATCGAACGTGTTTATGAAAGAAAATTCTAACACTTAATACAATATGTATTAGTGTAATTCTGCAGAAGCTTTCCTCTTATGCATTCAGCATGGTTTTTATTAACAATCTTCTTGTTTCTTTTTTCAATTAAACAAACAAAATTTCTTCTTGGCCCCCAGGAGATCGAAAAGCAGGTTACCAAATGACATTTTAATAGAGTGGGACGTTTCAAATATACAATATTCATTATCAAGCAGGTGAAGGGTTTTGCAACACTTGAAAATGAACTTTTGGAAATGATAGTAGTACAAATCAAGAGTATTGTGGATACCGTTTGAAATCTAAGCTAAAAATTACTCTGAAAATGGGTGAAAATACTCGCAATAGCTGAGGCCTTCATAATCAAGAGCGAGTCGTCAGCCATCCACCACCAAACTACAGGATTTGGCAGGAACCTGAAATTATTTTCAGAGTAATTTTAAGCTTGGATTTCAACCTGTATTTAACAACAATACCCTTGATTTGTACTACTGCCATTTTTCTAAGAGTTCAGTTTCAGGTGTTGCAAAACCCTTCACCTGCTTGATAATGAATGTTGTATGTTTGAAAATATTGGCTTATTGAAAAAAAAAACAATAAGAAAGTTGGTAATAAAAAGAATGCTCTGGTCTTCAATCGAACCATATATTATATATATGGTTCGCTGCCCCCACCTTCCTATAATCACTCGACGATTCAAGAGGGACGTCCCTATTTCTTAACCTCTTATATATAATTCGGGTATATATATCAAACACCGAGAGACGCAGAACTGAATTAATATACGTACTATAAATGTATATACATTGTTGTAGTTTGGCAGAAGTTTTTCTTTAATGCAAGTTTCATTGAAGACCAGAGAGAATTTCTTATTGACAATAATTTTCTTATTGTTTTTCTCTATTTGGCAAATTAGGCTCTTGATAGGAATTTATAAGTCAAATATAAGGTTTCCAAGGGACATTTTATTATAATTATAATTTTACGACGTTTCGAATGCAACTTCATTCATTATCAAGTAGAGGATGAGTTTTGCAACACTTGAATTTGAAATTTTGAAATGACAATATTGTACAAACATAGGGTATTATGGATACAGATTGGAATCAAAGCTTGAATTACGAGAACAATTTAACGTCCTGACAAATCCGGTAGTTTGCAAATTAATAGCTGGAGACTCATGCTTGATGAGAGCCTCAGCTATGGCCAGTCTTGTGGTGTCTGGGCAATAGTGGGTATCATATGTACATACGAGAAGGAATGCAGTAAAAATTTTCATAAAAAATTTTGTAATTAATGAAACTAAAAAAAACATTTTAGTAGGCAGACGCATAAAAAATCTCACAGTAATTGAACGACATCCTAAGGAATAACCCTCACAGCCTTGTGGATCTGGAGGAACTAAACCTAAACAAAAACCTTGGTAGTCATGGGCAGGGTAGAGGAGATAATGGTCAGGCAGGGTCAGGATCTGAGAGTGTACAGCCTTGTAGAGGGTCTCGGGGTTTCCTTCCTGGAAGTCAGTCCTGCCACAGCCACCAATGAGCAGCGCATCACCTGTGAACGCCATGCCGTGGGCGTGGTCCACAAACGTTACGCAGCCTGACAAGATCATTCATGAAGCAAACCAGAACTGAAACCTGTTACATACAAATAAAAATAACAGCTTTTTCCCAAATCTTGATATCCAAATACATTTTCACAGCTTGGAATTAATTCACAAAACAGCATGCCTGACTTTTTTAGGGTGCAGTAATTTGAGTAGTACCAGAATTCCAGTAATGTTCACCTGCAGTGTGACCGGGAGTGGCACGCACTTCCAGCTGCACAGCCCCCACTTTGATTACATCGCCAGGATTGACTTTAAGATCAGCATCTCCGCCAGAAGCCTCAGATAGAACAGACACGCAGCCTGGCACAAGCTTCTTCAGCATACCTGAGCCGGTGATGTGGTCTGCATGCACGTGAGTGTTGACTGTAAGTAAAGAGAAATTGATTATTTGAGAGGCCACTTATGCCACTAATATCTTTATATATCATTAGCCTTAGGTCTTTCTCTTAGTTGTTCACATTAATGAGTTACTAATGAGTGTAAAAATCATTTTTCTAGTGTACATTATTAAATTACTTGAACATGAAAACATTTAACTACTTTAAACTCTACCACAGGCCACAGCCACATTCATTGGTAAAATTTAAAGCTTAGCAAACCATCATTTCTATGGCTTCAAATCCCATTAGCTTTTCTCTTTAGTTTTTCAACCTTATGACTTCCATCATGATACACCTATCTAAGAATAAAGACTTAATTATTTGTAAGCCTGGTGGCAGAGGCTGGTAAAGGATGTCATGGTATTGGTTGACCCAATCTTCAAAACCATTTTGAAAATTTAGGATCAAATTAACAATTTCCTTCATTTGCCCCTACATACTATGATTGCAATAAAGTAGAATTTGTTCATGCTAAATTCAATACTTTGAGCAATGATAAGTCAATTAAATATTTAACGTTACATCTAAATATTCATTACCAAAAATCAAGAAGTGGACAGATGATGCCAGCAATTGTAAAAAATATCTACCTTCTTTTCAATTATTTTTAGAGCAGTAAGATTCCTGATAGATGAAAAACCTCCTATCTAATTGGTAACACAAGTAAATGATTATTCTGCAAGATTCCAAATATATTAAAAATGTCACATTGGACCAATCATGATTGGAGCTGTAACTCATATCAGTACCAAGTTACCAACTTACCAAGTAGAAAATTCAAGTTTTGATGTCACCTAATACGTATAGTGTTACTTTTAGTAACCACTACTCAGTACTCACCGACATATTTGAGATTCAATTGCAGCTGCTTGATGAGAGTAGCATCTCTCTGAGCCAATTCAATCACAGGGTCAATCAAGAGGGCTTCTTTTGTAGCAGTATCTGCCAGCAGATAAGTGTAGGTGCAGCTATCCCCATCAAAAAGCTGAAATTTTATGTCATAGAAAAGGAAACATGAACATGTGCTTAGAGAATTTCACTTTTTCAAATAATGAAACTATCATATATTGTTATTATTGTATATATATATACATAAATTTTTACTCCATTATTCCCAAGCCCATATCTCCTAAATAATATCTACCAAATATTTTTCCAATGATATGGAAGTGTAGTGTAATAGTGGTCATCAGTCATCACTCAATAAAACACTCATCCCTACTTCCATAAGTAAGGCAGAAATGGCACATTGACATTATCAGACTGATTCAGACATCGGTTGGACAATTTTAATACATAATTATCTCTTATTAGCTAGTTTAGTGTTTACTGATTCTGACAAGTGACAAATAGCATATAGCAGAAATAGCTGTTACTTACTTCCTTGTCCCTATTTTGGCAGTAGCCAACCGAAACAACACTTTCTGATAATAAATTTTAAACTCATTAGAAAGTATAACCATCGATCGCAAACTGTGGCGCCCGCCGCCCGGTGGTACGTATTTTTCCAAATATCTCACCTGACGGAACAGAAGACCAGAGTTCGACCCGATAAACCCGGAGGCCATTATTGTACTTGTATTCAATTCTCTCAGATGAGATAGATTATAATAGCGATTAGTGATGATTGCTCTAGTTGCAGCGGGCGAGGCTGACTGATAACACGCACCTAATCTTCGAACAGCCCGGAGAAGTCTTACTGTAGTTGCCATCGTAACGATGAGCGACAGAACAAACAGACCGGACAAGTACAGAGTGATCACTGATTAAGTCGTATAGCCTAAAAAGGCTCATTTGCATTTAAAATGTAAAATTTTCTCCCAAGTTTGTAAAATTTTATCCCAGTCTGCTCTAGGTAGAAAAACAGATTTCAAGACTATGTGAAAGTTTTATAAAGCGTATTTATATGTTGGTATAAACGAATTCTGTTAGCATGAAATTCCGTCTTTGTGTGCAGACAGCTGTGGAAGGTTTCCAACTAGTATATTTTTTCATTCTGCGAGTTGATTTTCAATTCTGCATAAATATCTCGGGTGAACTCATTTATATTAATTGTATAAAAACAATCTAAGACTTCTAAGAGATCCATAATTCATAAAGCGATTCTGCTAATATTTTCACGGAAATTAAATACAATTTGTTACTCTACCATAGGTGATTACAATAAATTTCTCTATTGAGCCTGGTAAAAAAGGTAGAAAAAAAATTGAAACTATTTAGACTTTAATAAAATAAGATTGAGATACAATATCATATATTACTTCATACTTCTGACTTCAATCTTCTGACATTAAAATTAGTACTTGGCACCTTTACTCAGCTGTTGGAGTTTTACTTTCTTATGTTTACGAGACGCCTGTAGGAGACCACCACTGCCTTGCTTCGAATGGACTATCATGATACCTTCTCTGAAGAACGTAGCCTACAACACTTCTTGACTGTAACATTATCAGCCGCACGCCACCAGATAGATCACATCCATTGAATTAGATTATTAGACCAACAAGCCCACAGGAAATAAGACTGACGTCGTATGGCTCCAGCGTCGTCTGCCAATACGCGAAAAAAAAATTTACACTACCCGGACGGAGCGCGCCGAAGCCGACCGTATCTGTCCAGTGTGTCGAATCAGCCTGCGGTCGAACGGCCACGCGTCGTACGACGATAAATTTTTGAACAGAACTATGCTATCTGTAACCTAACCTCAAATGCTGTGAGCTAAAACTTACGTAATTTAGCGAAGCTGTGGAAGTCGCTCGTCGAAGGACGATAGATTTTGGAACAGAACTAGGCTTTCTGAAACGTAACCCCAATGTTGTGAGCTAAAAATGACGGTCTGGTGGTGCACGGCAGGATGCATGCAGTTCCACTGGCGACCTGGGCTGGTTGGTCAATGGTCACAGTCCGTTGTCCGCAAGTTACAGTTCGAGCTAAAACCAGGGTATGAAGTGATGATTCGATGCAACGTTCAGTGGTGCATAACCACTTCTCTCTGGGCAATTCGCTTCAGAATGTGGTGGCGTAAAGCTCCTAATATTTAAAGCAAGATGATGTCACGGGCAGTCACGGGCTGGTTACCTACCTACCGCGGCTGATTGGTGGTCATCCGGAAATATACTAGGCGTTTCTTTCAAGGTTGATTGGTGCACAATTTTGGTGGTGCACGGCTGCGTACCCGCGTTTACATTGTTCAGTATGCTGGTCGATTCGGTTATTGTAGGCGTTAGAGTCAAGCTCTACTGAACTTGTTACAAGTTTCATTCGTTTTATTTATTGTGTGTCCTACGGTTAATAGGAAACGTAAATTTAATAAGCAAGGTAAATATTTTTAAACAATCGCGTGCGGTTATAACCCCATCTCCTGTATTTTGTACTATTAACATCTTGCATCTGACAATTTCTCAATTTCAATACGAAATGGGTCTTTCATTTATAAATCAGCCTAGAAAACGAAAGACTTATTTTCAGAGGCGCGATTGCTTATCATGACACGAGTTTACTTGATGAGATTTAATTCAACTGAGATGAAGTCATACAGTTTGTGCTTTAGAGCACATCATTTTTGTCTTGGGACGCCTGTCGGAGACCACCACTGCCGTGCTTCGAATGGACTATCATGATCCCTGCCCTGAAGAACGTAGCCTACATCTCATCTTAACTGTAACATTATCAGCCGCACGCCCCCAGACAGATCACATCCATTGAATTAGATCAATCAGCCCACAGGAAAATAAGCCTGGCGTCGTATGGCCCAGCGTCGTCTGTCAACACGCGAAAAAATTTTACACCACCCGGACGGAGCGCGCCGGATCCGTCCGTATCTGTCCCGTGTGTCGAATCAGCCCGCGGTCGAACGGCCACGCGTCGTACGACGATAAATTTTGGAACAGAACTTTGCTATCTGGAACCTAACCCCAGAAGCTTTGAGCCAAAAGTTACGCAATTTAGCGAATCTAGCGACGATAGAGTTTGGAACAGAACTATGTTTTCTGAAACCTAACCCCGGATGTTGAGCTAGAAGTGACGGTCTGGTGGTGCGCTGCAGGATGCATGCAGTTCCATTGGCGACCTGGGCTGGATGGTCGCAGTCCGTTTTCCGCAAGTTACAGTTCGAGCAAAAGTCAGTGTATGAAGTAATGATTCGATGCAACGTTCAGTGGTGCATACCCATTACTCTCTGGGCTATTCGCTTGAAAATGTGGTGGCGTAAAGCTCCTAATATTTAAAGCAAGATGATTTCACGGGCTAGTTACCGACGGATGGCCTAATCTGCGTCTGATTGGTGGTAATCCGGAAATATGCTAGGCGTTCCTTTCAAGGCTGATTGGTGCACAAATTTAGTGGTGCACGGCTGCGTACCCTTTCCTTTGTCTTCAGCCAATGGTGTGTATTATATGAATACAGTCTTATGTATTCTTAAATGATGCAGCATGCAGATATTTTAAATGTGATTCATGAATAAGTTTCATCAGAGTGTTCAGACCAAAGAATGATATTCATTATAATTAGAAATGGGAATTACTCAATATAGATAGCCACCAAATAATTAGGGTATAATTCTGGTAATGTGAGTTCATATATTCAAGATTGATGATCATTGATCCAGCCTAGTAGCATGATCAGTCAATGCCCAGGGGGCAGGGTGGCCCAGTGGTGGGCAGGGTGGCCCAGTGGTTAAAGTTCAGAGTACCAAGATATTGGCGCAGAGAGGCGCGGGTTCGATCCCAGCTCTGTGCGCCAGTTTCTGGTCAGAATCGGCAAGGAGGCCGAGCGGTTAAGCATAGCAGAATTGTAGCAGTGAGTTGCGAGTTCGCGACCGCAAAATGCTGTGAATGTTCTGCGATGTTAAGAATCGGCGACAGGCCTACGGCTTAATAACGCTGAAACCGCTATTATTATTATTATTAATGCCAATCAGGTACAAAATGTTAGCTAAATATAAAATAAAATTTAATTGCACATTTTTAAATCAAATGTGATATGTGCACATAGCCCATGTTTGTATATAACCCCTTCCCCCTTAGGGTCCCTTGCCAAATTTCACCTTGAGGCATTAATCCCCAGAATGCACAAATATTCTAATAGTAATATCCAACTATGATGATTATTTTTCTTTGACATCAATTATATCATCATCATTCATAAATAATTTGGGAGCGCAGCCCTACACCACAAATTTACCTCATAAACAAGCCCTAGCGCCAACGCCTACCCTATAATGCAATAACTAAACTCAGCTCACACTCAAGAAGCTGTAGGTAACTGATTCATCTCCCCACACCAACTTTAAGCAACACCTACCTCACTCCTCAGCCTGCTGAATCAAATAGTCAATTGTCAACAGGTCCTACTTCACAGAATTTTACCTCATACTATCACTTCTTACACACGCCGTAAGCCTTACTGGCCGCAGACCACGCCGGATCACCGTAAACCTGCTCTGCTATCTGCAGGACTGACGTAATCCCGCCGCACTCCACGTGCAGAAGCGCAAACCGCCGTCCCGATAACGCCATGCTCCGGCTCTCCCCCTTCGCAGCCCTAAGGCTTTCTTCAATTGCAGATTAGTTGTACGCCAGAGGTTGGGTCCCTCCATCGCGCCAGGCGCATTACTGATCGGGCAACGAGAAAAGCCTTCTGCGGGCTGCGAAGGGGGAGAGCCGAAGCATGGCGTAATAGGGACGGCGGTTTGCGCTTCTGCCTGTGGAGTAGAGCACGATGAAGCAGTGGCTGTGACGTGACGGCGCTGTTGTGTTATGTCGGGCGCTTATTTTCAAAAGTTGCGAAGGCTCCAGGCTGTGTTTAATACAAGCACGCAACAGTTTGGCTATTTGCCCACGGCTGTTGCTTTGGCGGCTTGATGTTATCTGGCTGATTGATTCATTTCCAGGAAAAGAAATGGCACCTATGGCTTTAGGCACTAAATCACACAGGCTAATATGCCCTCTAGCGTGATTACGAGCGGAAAGGAATAGATATTGAATTATTGGCAAGGGCTATGCAGGGGTCAATACTGCGTCCCAATAATTTTATTACCTAAGTAATGCTACATAACCTGGTACCTAATTTTCCTCACTTTCTTAGCCCCTAACATAAACACAAAACAGTATTTTGATTTAATCTGTAGGCATGCCATTAGCCTTACCTGCTGCTTTAGTAGCCTAGGCGCCAGTGTCGCATCAAATACAAGGATCTGATACTCAGTCTCACTGAAACATGCACAACATCGTAAATAAATTGAGAAGTATCAGATTAAAACTGAAATAATTAATTAGAGATAATTAGAAATCAACTCGCTTGACTAAAGCAAGAGTCGTTGAAGAGCGAGCTTCATTTATTTCGGTCATCTTCTGAATGATCGGACAGGCACTCATTACGGCCTCTCAGCAAGTCGGTCGGCCTTGTTTGTTAGTATCCAATTTATTTTTTATACACGATAGAAATGCACTATAAGCCCTATATGCTTAGAGACAGACTAGCAGAAGTTACTGGAACTTTCTATAAGGATTTTGAGGAGGGCAATTTTTTTTAATTGATCTCAAAGACGATACAAAAACAACGTCTTTCACGACAGTATTTGCATTTTGGGCCCACGGTGACGTCACAGTCGGAACAACAAACGACATCCGCAAGGAGCAGCTGCTCGTGGGTTAACCTTGTATTAATTCAACCATGGGCTTAGCAGCGTCTGCCAATACGCGAAAAATTTTTACACCATCTGGACGGAGCGCGCCGGAGCCTTGCAGTGATTATGATGTCCGCCATATACTCGTCCTTATCTTTCCCATGTGTCGAATCAGCCGGGACGCAGTATAAACCCCTGCATAGCCCTTGCCCACAATCCAATATCTATCCCTTTCCGCTCGTAATCACGCTAGAGGGCATATTAGCCTGTGTGATTAAGTGCCTAAAGCCATTTCCTTTCTTGAAAATGAATCAATCAGCCAGATAACATCAAGCCGCCGAAGCA